TATAATTAGTTATCTCAGCTTGCTTCAGAACTCTCATCAATGCGGTTTGTGACTTTAAACTCTGCCTAAAACAGTGAAGTTAAGTTGAAGGCTTTACCGGACTTTAATATATGTTTTGGGTTTTGGGTTATTTTGAGAGACTACAGGTCATCACATTTTGACTTCAGCCACCCCTTCAACTTATTTTTGCTTTTTGTGGGGTGACCATGGATCTGCTCAGAGCAGAGATTGCCCAGTTAACCCAGCAAGTGGCTCTTTTGACTGCACAGGTGGCACAAATGTAAGCTGCCCAGCCATGCCGAAAATGCCTAGTGGCAGTGCCAGATAAATTTGATGGTTCACTGGCCCAATTTCCAGCATTTTTTGGGCAGTGCCAGCTTTATATGAGCCTTCGGCCTTTCCCACTGACTGGGATAAGGTGGGGTTTTTGATTAGTTTGTTGTCAGGCTCTGCAGCACGTTGGGTGACGCCTCTGCTGACCCAGCACAACCAGGTTTTTACACTGAGTTTTGCCATCAGTTTCAGGCCATGTTTGAAGACCCTGTTCGAAGCCAAACAGCAAACAGGCGTTTGAGAGAGCTGAAGCAGGGGTGTGGCTCACTCATGGATTATATTGCTAGTTTTCAGGTGGTTGCTCAGGATGTACAATGGAATGAGGCAGCACTATTAGACCAGTTCCAGGAGGGTTTGTCGTCGGAACTTCTGGATGAGTTGGTGCGCACTGAATGCCCTCGCACCTTTCAGGAGCTCATGCATTTGTGTCTTCGTATTGATGCTAGACTTCAACAGAGATGGGTACGACGATGGACAGAGACCGTATCTGTTTCCAGCAAGATGGCGCTCTTGGTGGAAGTGCCTTTGGAGGAACCCATGGAGTTGGGGGCTGGCCGCCCTCGCCTGACTCAAGTAGAAAAGATTAGACGTCGTTGTGATGGTTTATGCCTCTATTGTGGCAATTGAGGCCATTTTGCAGCCAAGTGTCCTGTTAAGACATCCACAGCAGCGACACTTGCGGTGGTGGGAAACGAGCATCGTTCAGCCTACGGGGGTCTGCAGGTCGGGATCTAAAGTCCATAGGCCCGCCATCTTCACCAACCTTGCCACACTTGCCACCTTTGACATCTTCGACATCTCCACCACAGTCACTATTGGTGAAGCATCTTGTGCTGCCACCAAGTGTGTTGGTGCCTGGTGTGGGAGCGGTGGAGATCCCAGCTTTGATCGACTCAGGGGCCACAGCCAATTTCATGGATGCTCATTTTGTCAAGCAGTGGTTCATTCCTCAGCAACAGGTATCCCCACCAGTAATGGTGGAGACGATTGATGATCGTTTATAATTAGTTATCTCAGCTTGCTTCAGAACTCTCATCAATGCGGTTTGTTTTGGTTTTCTGTTTGCCTCCTTATTTACTTTTGTGACTTTAAAGTGTGCCTAATAAAACAGTGAAGTTAAATTGAAGACTTTACCGGACTTTAATATATGTTTTGGGTTTGGGGTTATTTTGAGAGACTACGGGTCATCACAGAATGGGGCTCTCCCCGCACACATAATCAGTTGCAAAGCTTTTTGGGGTTTGCCAACTTCTATCGGCAATTCATCCCAGCTTTTGCACAAATTGTGCTCCCAGTCACCAACTTGCTAAAAACAAAAGAGAGGGAAGGTAAACCCAAACCAAGGCAGCTCTGAATTGGACCATGGAATGTCAAGTGGCATTTGAAAAACTTAAGTGGCTGTTCTCAGCAGAACCTGTGCGGAAGCACCCAGACCCAAAAAAACTTTTGTCATCCAAGCAGACAGCAGTGACATGGCAGTCGAGGCTGTTCTCCAAGAGAATGAACAAGGCCAATTACATCCCTATGCATACACCTCAAAAAAACCCTAACAGAAACAGAACAGAGATGGGCTGTTTGGGACAAAAAGGTGTATGCTGTTCGATGGGCTCTCCCTACTTTGGAAGCATTTCTTGCAGATGAATAAAATTCCCTTCTAGGTCTGGACTGACCACAAACATCTGGAGGCCGTTAAGACCCTGTGGAAACTATCCCCAAAGCAAGTACAGTGGCCCATTTTATTTTAAGCGCTTTGACTTCACTCTCAAATACCTCCCTGGGGGTGGGGGGAGGAAGAACTTCCTAGCCAATGCTCTATCCAGAATGCCCCAATACAACAGCATTAAGTCAGAAGTGGTCAAATCCTTGCTTTCAGCTTCCCAACTGGCCGCTAAAGTAATGACCAGGGCACAAGGAAAACTGGACCTGCCAACCAACAATGCTACCACACAAGCATTCATACAGGCACTCTCACACAGATGACTGGTTCCAGGCTCATAAGAATACTTGCTTGCTAAAAGACAGCCTGGCATGAATGGGAGGGAAACTGTATGTCCCAGCTAGCCAGAGACTCAACCTCATGAAAGCCTACCATGATTCAAAGCTAGCAGGCCACTTCAGATTTGCACTTGATAAAAAGGCAATTCTGATAAAAAGGCAATGTCAGAAAGACATTGAAAGCTATGTGGCTAGTTGCCCTGTCTGCACAGCCAAAAAGAGAAGGCAGGGAAAAATCCCAGGACTGTTGCCAATCCCCACTGCCAAAATTCTGGCCAAAGTGTTCCTACTTCATATCTATTGGTTGCATGGAGCCCCCCAGAGGATTATATCAGACCTAGGGGTCCAATTCAAAATTCTGCAGAGCTTTTTGAAGCCTCCTGGGTACTGATCATCCTCAGACAAATGGGGGGATGGAACGAATGAACCCTAAACCATTTAAGTAAGATAGGGGACAGAATATACTAACCACTAAATTTCTACAATCCTTGCAACCCTCTAAGAAATTAGAACCAAAATACATAAGACCTTTCCCCATCACCCGGATTATAAACCAGGTGACAGTTGAACCACTACTACCAAAAACCCTCAGGCAAGTGCACCCTATATTTCACTGCAGTTTGCTGAAACCAGAAATCACTTCTCCACTTAGGCTACCTGAAAAAGCACTACCTCTCCCCATTATGGTCAAGGGAGAACAATACTTTGAGATCAAGGAAATCTTTGACTCATGCACACACCATGGTGCCACGCAATACTTAGTATCCTGGAAGCATTTGTCTTCATCCCAAAATGAATGGGTAGCTAAGAAACATATCAGGGCCTCAAAGTTACTGAGATTATTTCATGCTCAATATCCTGATAAGCCTAACTAAACAATTGCTCTGTATCTCTCCTTGTGTTTCCTTTCCAGGAAGGATTTCTCCTTTTAGGGAGGCAGCATGTCAGATCCCATAGATCCTTATCGGGATGCTGCCATTCTGGTGGGGAAGGGGCCTGGAAGCATTCCTCAGTTTATAACCTTCTTTCTGGTGCCTGTCTATCCTGTGCTTTGATTTACCTACCTGGGAATATAAGGGAGGAGGGCCACCTCTTTTATCTCAGCTCCGAAGCCTCCAGGAGGCGATGCCTGAGAACAACTTATCATCATCTCAGTCTGTGATTCTCAAAACATCTTTGTGCCTGTGGATTGGCTTATTCAGCACCGGACTGAGGGGAGGGGCCTCTGTTTTAATCCAACAGAATTGCATGGGAATCCTCAGATCCTGCTTTCATTTTTCTTGCTATCACTTTCCTTTCAATAAAAGTTTTTTTTGAAATGCTAAGTGCTTCAAGAGTTCTACTTTCTTGATCAGAGAGGAGAGGCAAGTCTTTACAATCAGGTCCAGGTTGCTACTTGGATAGAAGATAACCAAGAAATTCCAGGGCCCTAGATCAGATTGGGAATTTGATTTGCATCCCAGAAGAAAAGATTGCTCCGTTGCTCTGTTTCATGGAGTCTGTACAACATCATAAGGAGGTGTATTTAGCTCAAAGAGATTTTCCCTAATAAATACATAAACTACCAGATGAAATAATGTTTATGAATGATATTTACATAATTGGGTTGCTTCTATATAGCAGAGCTAAAACAGAAAGTATTCTTCTTCTAAAATGAGAAAAATATGTACACATTAGCAACTTGAAGATTTATTTCTTGGTACTTTTTCATCTATATACTACTAAAACTCTCTTTCTTGTAACCTTTAACTGTGTGATATGGTGCAACACAGGACAAACCTTTCTGAACCAAAGTATGTCAAATAGGATAATTACAGAATGTGCCCAAAGTCTGGAACCCATGACTTCCATGAAGTTGAAGTTTGGCAAATTTCAAACAACATTTTATGACCAAAAATTGTTTGAAGCTCTGTAATTTTAACAATTGAGGCATTGAGGAAACTGATAAGGAAATATCTCTGAAAGGATGATCCAAGGAATCATGGACTGCCTAGTTCCCCTTAAAAGAGAGCTGAACTTGTTATGGGACAGGATTGTGAGGGCAGCAAGCTAATCTGGCTAATTGTGTACAGAATACAGCTGTCTGTCATCCCCAAAGGGGAAGAGTGAGCAGGAGGAGCCAGAAAGAATAGCAGAGCTATTTCTGCTACCCCTGCCACCCCAATATCTGTTTCTGAGGTGATCGTTTCAGTCTGCCTATTGGCAGAGCTGCTTTTAAATATATTCAGAAGTTTAATTTACTTACTTATTTTGTATGGCTGTCAAAACTGCAAAAAGCAACTCTAGCTGGCTAACATAAGATTAAAAACAAAACAAACAATAAAATTAAAGTCAGAAGGTCACAAAATGTGATCTCAGATCCCAAGACACTGCACCTGTTATAAATATGAACCAGTTGCCCAGTATCCAAATTTTGATGAAGTGATCATGGGGATGCTGCAACCGTTGTAAGTGTGAAAAATGGTCACTTTTTTTTAGTGCCACTGTAACTTTGAACAGATATTAAATAGCTCTTATATGGCAAGTACTACCTGTATTTTATTCCAGTTTTCTGGTACCCCTTAGATGGGGGAGAGTGCTTTAGATTGGGACTACAAAGGCCAGTCTGCTGGAAACGGCACTGGACTAAATTCATTCTGAAATTAATTTAAAATGCATAAAACCAAACTCACCTGGTGTTCCAAGATGGGCCTGAGCAATGGTTAATTTCTCATGAGGAGCTCTGCACTGACAGCTTGTTTCACCTGCAAATGGAGCCGGTGCTGTCAAAGTCTAGAAGATGGGAAAGGTTAGATTATGAAAAAAGAAAGCAAAATAAATTGTCAGTTGTGGAAGTTATCACATATGAGTTTATTGCTCCTTGCTTCCACCTAAATTAGTTAGCTAGTTAGTTAGTTTACTTTATTGTCATTGTACCTCATACAACAAAATCAAACACCATCTTCAGTGCACATCATGACCATGAAAATAAACACAAACAAACATACAGTAGAATTCAACAGAGCTACTGCCCTGGAATAGAAGCTGTTTTTCAGCCTATTTGTCCTTGTTTTTATTATTCTGTACCGTCTGCCAGATAGTAATGGTTCAAAAAAAGGGTGCCCAGGATGAGATGGATCTTTGAGAATGTTTTGAACTTTCTTAAGGCAGTGGGAGCTTTTCCAAAGAGGGGAGAGGGCAACCAATGATCTTCTAGGCAATGATGTTAACCCTCTGGAGTGCTGTCCTATCTGCCACTGTGCAATTGGCAAACCATATACAGGTGCAGTAAGTTAAGATACTCTCTATGGTGCAGCGGTAGAAGGTCACCAGCAGTTTTTTGTTCAGTTGTTGTTTTCTGAGAGGTACCGTATTTGCCGGCGTATAAGACGACTGGGCGTATAAGACGACCCCCCAACATTTCCACTCAAAATATAGAGTTTGTTATATACTCGCCGTATAAGACTACCCCCTCTTCCACACACCTTCCACTTTTGCACTTTTTTTTTTTTTGACGCACTTTTCTGCTTTGGACAATTTTGAAATGAGCTAATCCAATTTTGAACCAAGAATATGCAAATAGCTATGGAGTTTAGAAATGAGTTTTAAAAATATTTTTCATTGCTTACCATTAAGCGTAAAATATATTGTAAATAAAATGAGAACACAGGAAACGTTCTCTTCTCAATACAGCTGATCTCTCTCTCTCTCTCTCTCTCTCTCTCTCACACACACACACACACCAAAAACCCGGACACTGAAAAGGCTGCCAAGGAACAGTATATTCAATGCCTTCTCTTTAATCAAGAAACAAGGAATTCCTTAGAATCTTTTTTTTTCCCCAAGTGGCCCTCTTTAAAAAAAAAAATGGAGGTAACACTTTCATTCAAAAAGTCTTCCAGTATCTGGAGTCGCTCAGACATATTGAAGTGAGGCAGGAGAGTAAGTGAAATTTGAAATGATCCAGCTACCGTTTTCTTCCCCTCCCGCCCGAAAGCCATTATCTCCACATCAAAACGAACGAGGGGAGGCAAAGAAGCCAAACACGCTAAAAAGGATCTCTTTATTTTCCTACACAAGGTCACACCTACTTTTCCGCATTCAAAGGACAACCTCTCCTCACCACCACCACACACACACACACACCCCAATACCCGCAATGTTCTGGGCATTAATCACCATTGCTACATTAACCTGGTAAATTTATACCCTGCCTCCCCCAGTGTTGCTTTGACAGCAGGATTTCACACAGCGGGGTGCTCGCTCGCTCTCTTCTCCGCTCTCCCACTGTTTGCACATGTTGGAAGCACCGTAAAACCTGATAACCCACCCGGGGGCTCCCCCATCCTTAACCTACAGCCGCCCGCATGCAAAACCTGCGTAAAAAAAGAAAAAGAAAAGTACGCCGCACGTGAGGATCTTCGAATCCTCTCCTCCCCACACCGCTAAGGAAGGAAGAGGGGGAAAGGTTGCGCAGCGCGTGGTGAGTGACACCCGCCACACACACACACACACACACACACACACACACACACCGCTCCCCCCCCCAGCCTCCCTCCCGGCTGCAACTCAAGCTCGAAGTGGGAGTCGGAGTCCTCCCGGCGTATAAGACGACCCCCCCACTTGGAGGCATGTTTTTCAGGGCAAAAAAGTCGTCTTATACGCCGGCAAATACGGTAGTATAATCTCTGCTGGGCCCTTTTGACCAGTGCTGCAATGTGAGCACCAGTGCTGCAAGGTGAGGTCCTCTTTTATGGTAACACCCAGAAACTTAAAACTGGCCACTTGCTCCACTCAGTCTACATTGATAAGCAAGGGCTGGATGTCTGATCTGTTCCTTCTATAGTCCACTATAAGCTCCTTGGTCTAATTGGTGTTGAGGACCAAGTTATTGTCTCCACACCACGAAAGCAAGCAGTCTACCTCATCTCAGTAGGAAGACTCATCCCCCCGGAGATGAGTCCCACCACTGTTGTATCATCTGCAAATTTAATAATAGTACTACTAGCATGAGTATGAATACAGTCATGCACATAAAGAGTATAGAGTAAGGGATTTAACACACAACCCTGTTGTGTACCAGTATTAAGAATAAGGGCTGAAGAGGTATGATTACCTAATCTGACCCTCTGTGAGTGGCCAAACAGGAAATCCATAATCCAAAGGCATTATATATATTATATATATTATATATATTACTTGATAAGGATTTTTTTAAAAAGTTAAATCTTAAGGAGAGTGATATACCTTTATAATATCCTTCAAGTTTGTTTTCTTCCAGTGAAATATTTTAGAAGTGGATACAGGGATGTAAATATTTCAACTACCTATTGATTTCAAGTGGCACTCTCACTGCTATTTATCCCAATTTCTAAGAAAATTTAATTTTTAATATCTATAATTTTCCCCATTAAATAAATTGTGTTAACACATCCATACATAGTATACATAGTATGAGCTGGTAACAGAAAAGGTTTAATTAAGAATTCAAATAGAGATTATTTCCATTAATAATAATGAAGCTGGCTATTGTGCATATCATTTCTCTTCTTTTGGCTTATGTCATATTAAACAAAGAATAGGAAAAATAAAAAGGAGTGATGTTTGGAGAGTTTCTCATGGTCAGCTCTCATGTGAAACTAACATTGCAGACTCAATAGTTCTGGAAAGCTGGGAAAAAACATTCAATTCCAATTCTCACATTATAATGGCTGGTATCAACATGTGTGTAGAGGAATCAATAAAGCTTTCTGGGCCCAAAGATAAATCTCTCAGATGGAGCCCTCCATTGGTGAGACAATGCAAATACAGTCCCCCTTTGGCTGCAGCAGATGAGGATAGTAGGAGAAAGGAGTTCTTTACTGCCATTGCAACAATGGGCTTGAACCCCAAAAGGTTTTCCTTCAATTCTTCAGCCACCATAAAATATTCTTTTCTCCTTCTGTTTTACCTTCTGCATTCAGACCCTAACCCGGTGTCAGCAACCCATGGCTCCAGAGCCACAGGTGGCTCTTTCGTCCCACTGCTCCCTTTTGGCTTAACCCACCACTGGCTCACCCCGTCCCTCACCCTCCCCTCCCAGTAACTCCTTGCCTGGCCTGAGAAGGTAAGGGTGATGGTTGCTCCATATTCCAGAGCGGGAGTAAAATGCCCCTTGCCTACTTGCCTCATCTCCTGGGTGTTTCTTCTGGCCCTTATTGGTGCTGCGTGCACCTCAGTTGCTTGGAGAGATGCACAACTTGCTCTCTGCTCTGAGACACTGGTCTGGTCCAGCTGTGGCTGACGCCGCTGCTCTCATCACCTCCATAGCCTGCCCGCTGCTCTCAGAGCACCTTGTTCGCTTTACAATGGGGGAGACAGCATCCTCTTCTCCTCTGGAGCCCATTACAACATGAAGCATCAGCCACAGCTGGGCCGGGCCAGTGTCTTCGGGCAGAGAGCAAGTTGTGTGTCTCCCCAAGTAACCAAGCTACGTGCAGCACCAACAAGGGCTGGAAGAAAAACCCACGAGATGAGGCAAGTGGTGCTTTGCTCCCATTTTGGAACATGGAGTGTGTCTCCATCCCCTGCCATCACCCTTACCTTCTCAGGCCAGGCAAGGAGTGACTGGAGGCAGGGCGAGGGGGCAGGGGCCGCCAGTGGTGGGTTCAGCCAACAGGGAGCCACAGCAGGGGGGCAAAAAACCCCAACCCTCACCTGTTTTTGGAAATGGTTCAAGAGGGAACACACAGAGAGAGAGAGGGGGGGGGAGAAAGAGAGATGAGAGAGACATAGAGAGAGAAAGAGATGAGAGACAGAGACAGACAGAGAGGGAGGGAGGGAGGGAAAGATGAGAGAGAGAAAAAGAGAGAGATAGAGATAGAAAGAGAGAAAGATAGATAAAGAGAGGGAGAGAGAGAGATGAGAGACAGAGACAGAGACAGAGACAGAGACAGAGAGAGAGAGAGAGAGAGAGAGAGAGAGAGAGAGCTGTTTCCTACAGAAAACACCGGGAGTCACAAAATCTGGGTAGACATGGCTGGGGGGGGGGAGTGTCATGTGACTGGATGGGAGTGAGTGACATTGAATTAGCCATGCCCACCCAGGTTTTCTGGCTCCCAGTGTTTTCTTTTCTGTGGGAAACAGGTCCAAATGGCTCTAAGGTTGCAGACCCCTGCCCTAACCTCTTCTCGTTAGAGCTCTTCCTCTAATATGACCTAGTCCAGTGGCTGTCAAACGGTGGGCCGCAGACCATTAGTGGTCCACGAGACATGTCACCCCCAAAGCACCCCCAAAGCAATTAATCCAGGCTGCACGGGAACACAAGGCTGTGTGTGTGTGTGTGTGTGTGTGTGTGTGTGTGAGAGAGAGAGAGAGAGAGAGAGAGAGAGAGAGAGAGAGAGAGAGAGAGAGAGAGAGAGAGAGAGAGAGAACATCATCACCAGCCCTCCAAGGTTCGATCAGATCTCTCTCTCTCTCTCTCCCCCAGTGGAAGTGGTGGAGCTTCAGTGCTTCGCCAGCAGGGAGCCAGACGAGGCATGTCACTCAATTTTTTTTTTGCCATGAAAGAAGTGGCCCGGCGGTCAGGCGAGGCATGTGGGGAAAAAGTATGACTGTCAATTATCTGAAAGCCTGCACTCACAAACAAAAAAATCTCCACATCACAAGCCAAGCAAACACCTGGGCACAAACAGACCCCCCCCCATACCTCCAGCCCAAACACACCCCAACCAGCCACCCAGATGAAACCTAGCTTCCTAATAAATGATAGTCAGCCATTTATCTGAAGCCACGCCGTGCTAAAAGTCCCCAAG